CAACTACAAATGATAAAACTCTCTACAAATGTAAGGGTTTTGATTTCGTTTTAACCAGTTTGGCTGATATAAATCAATCCATCAGCGGCCAGACATCAACGTGAACAGAGTGTGAGAACCAACCCACCACGGTACACTCAGCACTCCGTAAGGACACACCTACGAGGGCAGCCCTGCTGCATTTGAATTCTCTGTGACTTAATGACTGAGTGTGAAATCAGCCCAATGCAAAACATTCTCTGTTCTCCTACCTGGTAGTTCTCACCACCCCGCGTAGTGACCAGAGCGTGAGCCCATGAATCACCATGGGCATCCCCAGGCAGGCCAAGGCACACAGGAGAGCACAGCTATGCTCAAATGTTGCCTTCTCTTGTTGGAAACAAGGAATTGACTGTTCAGAGATTATCTCTGGGCAGTGGGAGTCAGAATCACTTTCATTTTTGTATCTTAACATATTTCAATGTAGGCTGAATTTTTATAAAAGACATAGATTTTATATTAACAAAAAGAATTTCCATTTTGAGGAAAAACAGATATAAATGGTTATGTTCACATAGAATATAAATACAAGTAATTTCATTATTTTATTATAAGAGATTCTAGCATAAGACGTGAAAACACTCTACTGAAACCAAGGTAACCTCTCAAGCAGATATTTCTCAAACTCACTGAGTTAGGAGAGGCAAGAAATTACAGCTTAAAAATAAAAATCTATGAAAATTTTTCATTTCAATCCCAAATGGTTTCCTCTTTGGGTCGGAAGGTTTAGTGTCTTTCTGAGCTAGAGAAGAACGGGCCTGCATATTAGAAAGGGAAACGGTGGTGGAAAGAACACAGGGGCACTCTTAAAAAGGTCCATGAACCGTATCTTCTCGACCGGCAGAAAAAGAGACTGAAGACAGCGTAAAAATTTAGCAACATTAAAGTGAAATCAAAACATGGAGTCAAAAATCAAGTGACACTGACTGCTCATGTCCTAAGGTCCTGCTTAATACATGGTTTCTTTTTTCCCTGACAGTGATATACCAACCACCACCCTCTAGAACTCCCCCCCCCAAAAAAAAAAGTAGATGTTAATATTAGGAATAGAAAGTATAGAAAGGCTTCAGGAAAGACTGATCAGGGATGGCCTCACAGCCTAGTGGTAAAGGGAGCCTGATCCCTGGGGGCTGACTTGGAAACATGTGACTGAATGGGAAAACATACTGGGTGCCTGTGCCTGCCTGCCCAAAATGCCCAGGGGATGGAGAAATGGAGAAGGGCCTGCAAGCTTGACCACACACACACACACACACACTTTTTTTTTTTGGAGAGGTTTTTGCTATAGGACGCGTGCGCTCGCCAGACAGAGACAGACAGACAGGAAGCGAGAAATCACCCCCCAGGGGGGATGGCCACGCACCAATCCCTTCTCCTCCATTCTCCTCTCAGGATCTTGGGCACGCACGCACACTCGCCCAGCATGAGTTTTAAGCCACCGGGTCTGGGACGTGAACCGTGGTCGACTACGTGGGAGTACAGCGACATAGCCATTACTCTAACTACTGGTTCCCAGACCACACACATTTCTTTAGGGGGTGCTTTCTCCCTCTCCCTGCCTCTCTGGCAAGCCCAAGTGCCTTCTGGCAATTCAAAAAAAGGGGAAAGACTGCTCAACCTGAGTTATTAAACACCTCGAAACCCTGGTCATGTTGGAGAAATCCTGCTTCCAAAATGAGTGTCAGGTGTTAATTAAAGGCTCTACTTTGCGAACCTCGGGAAAAGCATTTCACCTCCACTACCTATCAGTTGTGCTTCTTTAAGAGAAGGAATGTCTTTTAGCTTCCAAAGCCATTCACTTATTCTTGAGAGTTTATTACATATCCAGTGATTGATTCAAAAGGAAAGTTCTGTGCGTTCTGAACAAAACGACGGCCAGTCATCATTCAAGCTTCATGTTTTTGTATCTCATTTCTTATTTCTTCAGATCATATCAATTTGTAATGACAAAATTTCACAGAATTTAATTTCTCCATTTATAAGGAGGTGACTGTGATTGCTTTGAAATGTTCATGAGAACTGCATCCTTCACCAAATCTGCTTCAGAGTGCCTCGAACTTCAGCTCAAGAAACTGATTCTAAACTGTCTTTAACAATCTCGGACCACTTCATAGGTTTGAGTATCAAAGGGAAAGCTGTTCCTGTCGCGATACATACAGTATCGAAATTCAGCAGACCGAGGGAGAATTTGCATGTACCTACTACACTGAAACTCAATTTAGGAACATGATTATACAGATACAAATGTGTCCCTAGAAAACACGGGGGCTTTGATCAACGTCTTCCAGAGGCTCCCAACTTGGAAAATGTCATGTCAGTGCTTCCAATCATGTGGACGCGTCCTTAGGTAGAGACACTGGAAGGCTGAGCTCAGACGCAAACCTACGTACACCAGTTGTAACGACTCTCGATCTGCATCAAACACATGTACCCACAGAACTTCTAGTAAGCGCCCACCACTGGAAGCGAAAGCACTTTCTTTCCCAGTAAGCATATCTCTTCCACGGAAAATTCCCAAACCCCAGACCTACCACTTTTTACAGAACAAAAAGCGTGTGTGCCTGCGAGAGGGGGTGGGAAAGCGCGTAGCAAGAATTTTCAGGGCTCTTACGCCTCCTCCCTCGGAGCGCGCCCAAGTCTGCGGCCGGGCTCCGGGACACTTCCCCTCCCACCCGCCGAGGAGCCGCAGCTGTAAGTTAAAGAAGCGGGTTCTGGGCACGTCAATCAACCGTGTCCTCCCGCCTCCCGTCTACACCTCCCTTCCCCTCCCCCCTCTAGAAAAATACAGAGAAAGAAAGAGAAAAAAGAAGGTAACTAATTTGAGAACTAGTCTCCGCAAGGGCTTCGCCTCCGACCTAGAGAGGCCACACGCCCGGGACCTGGCGCGCCGGCATCGAGCAGGCGGCCGGGTAGCTGCCTGTCTCTGGGTCCTCGCAGCGCGTCCCCCGCGCTTCGGCTCCCCGCACCGGTCGGCATCGCTCTGGCCCCGCACTCAGCCAGGCCCGCGAGCCGTCGCCCTCCGATCGGGGCCAAAGTTGCGCAAATAGCCCCACAACCGGCAGATACTTACCGGCCGCAGCAGGAACCAGCGCTGCGGAGATTTTAGGGAGTTTAAGGCAAATCAGCCGCGGAAAGGCGGGCGGAGGCGAAGGGGCCGCGAGCTGCAGTGGCGGCGGCGCGCGGCGCTCGGGCTGGGCTGCGCGGAGAGGCTCTGGCTCTCTCTGCCAGGGACTCTGCTGCAACAAAGGACTTCCGCTGCCGCACAGCCGCGCCTGCCGCACCGCACTGAGCCGGCCCCGCTTACGCGGCGACTCCGGGTCTGCCCACCAGTTCGCTGCGGCGTCCGCCAGCCTTCCCCTCCCTCTCGCCCGCCCACCCCCTCCGCCTCTGGCTGCTAGGGGCACCCGCGGTCGCCTGTTTGTTGCAACAAGTTTCTGCGTCGGGCTCCGAGGAGGCAGGCGCAGCCCGCACAGCGGGGGCCGGCGCGGCAGCGGCCTGACCACCCCTCTCGCCCCTCTCCCAAGGGTAGGCTTGGGACCTCCTCCTCCTGTTTGCACAGCTGGATGGGACTGGGCTCCTCCCGACTCCCCAAGGGCAGAATGCTGCTTTCCCACTCGGTCCAGATGTCAGACCCCAGCCCCGCACGGCCCCGCAGCTGGGTCCTCCCTTGCGGCACGCCCTGGGCGCTCTGGGGGCGCCGGGACCCTCGACCTATCCCGTCCTCGGTCTGTCCGCTCAGGGTCGCCAACTCCCCGCGCTCCCCCCACTGTGCCTGCCGTGGGCCTGGCCGCCTCTGGCCCTGAGTCACTTCCCCCGCCATGCCCCACCCCGCCCAGCCCTCCTCTCCCAGGCTCCCGCGGCCCCCCCCCCCCGCCCCCCACC